AGACTTGCCACATCTTAATATTTCTATCAACACAAGATCTGTTATGAAGATGCTAGAGATCGGACCATTCCTTCTGGTACCGCCCCCACAAAGGGTCAAAATTTTGAATAACCAAAACTATCATAAACTTCGAAATAATCATCCGCTTCTCTTCAAATTTCGCCCATCCCATTATTTCTACAAACACTAGATTTAATGTGAAGATGGGATTTAAAGGCCTATTCCTTCTGGCACCTCCCCCACAAAGGATCAACATTTTGAATATCCATAAAGCTCATGCCACATCTTAATATTTCTATCAACACAAGATCTGTTATGAAGATGGTAGAAATCAGACATTTCCTTTTGGTACTTCCCCCACAAAGGGTCAAAATATTCAAAAACCAAAACTATTATAAAATTCGAAATAATCATCCGCTTCTCTTCAAATTTCGCTCATCCCATTATTTCTGCAAACACCTTTCCTTTCGGTACCTCCCCCACAAAGGGTTAAAATTTTGAATAACCAAAACTATTATAAAATTCGAAGCTCATAAAACGCGAAATTAACATCCGGTTCCATTCAGATTTGAATATTTCTATCAACACACGATCAGTTATAAAGATGGTAGAGATCGGACTATTTCTTTTGGCACCTCCCCCACATAGGATTCAAGATTTTGAAACTCTTCTGGAATCTCACCCACAAAGGCTCACAATTTTCAATAGTTTTATCATAACTTGCAAAACAAATCGGCGATTCTTTACATCTTGTTATATCTAAATATTTCCCTCAACCAGCAACCTTAAATAAAAATTGAATTTAGGACTTCGCATACCAATATTTTTACCTGTATTGGATGGAGTATGAAAATGGAATACTTCGAACCTCCAAGTATCTCCCGCACATTTTAGCATATTCTAAAAATTATCGCATATCTCATATAAAGTGAAAGAAGTAGCCAATATAGTCCAAACCTGGCACGTCGCAATATTTATATCATATTTATTTAGATCCGATACGAAATGGTCAATATTCGGTCATTCCTTTGGAACCTACTCCATAGAGGTTCAACAATTTGAATATGATTATTGACAGAAGTCAAAATATATTTAAATAATCGAGCATTGGCTGAGGGTATACATCTGTCGGTAAAACCGACGGATACTTTGTAACTTATATATTAAGATTTTCTCGCTCAATTCCTTTACACCTGGCAACTCTTCCTTTCACTCTTGCCCCATTTTTTTTGCGCTACAATAAAATCTCCATTACAAGAAAAAAATATACATACAGTGTTGCAATTACAACATGTGAAGTTGGTTGATGGCTTAATTGGACGGAGAGGCTTTATTGTTGGCCAATAAAAAAAAACAATGTAAAACTCATGATAACACGACGTGCCACCAACAAACTACAACAACAACAACCACAATATGTTGCAAAAAGAGGCTATACACTATTTTATTTAGAGTGGGCTTTGATCCAATAACCGTATTATTAATTACTCCAATAACAAGTGGTTAATGAAAGTGGCGTAGCCGTCCATGAGTCCATACACTATCTGCGCCGGATCGGTGCGGACCAAATGAAATCAATCAAATATTAATTAAATTGTATTGAAAACATGTGTGCGTACTCCTTGTCTATGTTGTCGAGAGGTAATTGTTTAATAATTTCATAAATATTGAACGATCATAAAACACAACAATATAATGTAAACACCTGGAAAAAATGTTGTAGATTTTGCAACTCCACTGCTAAATTACCCAAAATGATATGTCCGAAAAATGGTATTGGCCAAAAAGTGAATAAAACAAAACTTATTGCCAAATTTTTAAATACTATGCAGTGCAATTCACTGTTCCCCCCCTAGAGGCCAATTTTGAAGAGGAAACAAGCGATTTGTATGGAAATTATAAGTGAATTGTAATGCCAGTGAGAGATAATTATGAGATTTGTATTTGGCACAGTTTTTTTGAAGTGGCAAATGTTAATAACACTTCTTAAGAAAACCAAAAAATACTGGAAACTGCAACACATTAGTTACGTCATGAGAACATAATCTTAGAAAACGTAAGATTATGGCCAACAAGTCCTTTTGACTCCTGTTATGATTATTCAAACTGTTGACCCTCTCCATATTCATCTCAGGTTTCTGGTTGAGAGAAATATTTTGATGTAAGAAGTTGTAACGAATCGCTGACTTGTTTCGCAAGCTATGACAGACAAAGGTATTGAAAATTGTGTCCCTTTGTGGGTGAGGTACCAGAAGGGGTTTCGCAGATATATATCATCTTCACAACAGATTTTGTGTTAGGAAAAATGTTTGTGTGAGTGAAGCTTGAAGAGAGTTGGGCGTTTTTCAAAATCTTGAACCCTAAGTGAGGGGTACCGCAAGAAATGGTCCGATCTCTATCATATTTGCAACAGATCTTGTGCTAATGGATATATTGATATGTATCAAGTTTGAAAGGAATCGGATATTAATTTCGAATTTTATGATCTTCATGGATATTCACAATGTTCACACTTTGTGGGGGAGGTACCAGAAGGAGTGCACCGATATATCCCATCTTCACAGCAGATCTTGTGTTAGTGAAAATATTGGGATGTGTGAAATTTGAAGAGAACCGAATGCTTATTTCGGATTTTATGCTAGTTTTGGTTATTCAAAATTTGGACCCTTTGTGAGGGAGGTACCAGAAGGAATGGTCCGAACTCTGCTGTCTTTATAACACATCTTGTGTTGATAGAAATATTGAGATGTGCCATGTCTGAATGGATTCGGATTGTAATATCGCGCTCTATGAGTTTCATAGTTGTTCAAAACGTTGACCTTTGTGGGGGAGATACCAGAGGGAGTGGACCGATATATTCCATCTTCACGCCAGATCTTGGATTAATAGAAATTTTGTGATGTGTGAAATTTGAAGATAATCGGACTCTTACATTATATTTTATAAGAGTTATAGTTATTCAAATTTTTGACCCTTTGTGGGGGAGGTACTTGTTGGAGTGGACCGATATTTTCCATTCTCGCACCTGACCTAGCATTAATGCAATTATTAGGATTTGCAAAAAATATTTTTTTTTAAATGTCGACCTTTTGTGGGGAAGCTACTAGAAATGGTAGAGCGATATTGCCCATCTCTGAACTCTATCTTAGTTTGATAATAATATTACGATGCATCAAGTTTGGACCAAATCGCAGACTCCCGTCGAGAGTTATGGTGCGTACCAGTCCACAAAAAATATTCGTTAAAAATCCACGATTGGTGGTCTTTGAGTCCTTGAAAAATATTCGTTAAGAAATCCACGATTAGTGGTCTTTGAAATTTGTTTCTTAAAAAATCCAAGATTGGTGGTCTTTGAGTCCTTGAAAAAAAAATTCTTTAAAAAATCCACAATTAGTGGTCTTTGAGTCCTTGAAAATATTCTCTAAAAAGCTACAATAAGTGCCCCATAAGTCCTTGAAAAATATTCTTCTAAAGATCCACGATTAGTTCTCCATAAGTCCTTAAAAAATGTGTTTTAAAAAATCCACAATTAGTGCTCTGAAGGTACTTGAAAATACTTCTTGAAAAATATCCTTTAAAAAATCTGCGGTTAGTGCTCCATAAGTATTTGAAAAATATTCCTTAAGAATTCACGATTAATGGTCCTTTAGTCCACATAAAATATTCTTTGTGAAATCCACAATTAATGGTCCTTTAGTCCTTGAAAAATATTCTGTAAAAAATCCACGATTAATGGTCCTTTAGTCTTAAAAAAATATTCTGTAAGAAATCCACGATTTATGGGCCTTTAGTCCTTGAAAAATATTCCTTGTGAAATCCACGATTAATGGTCCTTTAGTCCTTGAAAAATATTCTTTAAAAAATCCACGATTAGTGCTCTGTAGGTTCTTAAATATATTCTTTAAAAAATCCACGATTAGTGCTCTGTAGGTTCTTAAATATATTCTTTAAGAAATCCTCGAATATGATCCTTTAGTCCTTGAACAATATTCTTTAAGAAATCCACGATAAATTATCCTTTTGTTATTAAAAAATATTTTTTTAAAGAATCCACAATTAGTGCGCTGTAGGTCCTTGAAAAATATTCTTTAAAAATCCACGATTAGTGCTCTGTAGGTCCTTGAAAATATTTTTTAAAAAATCCACGATTAGTACTCCATAAGTCCTTGAAAATTTCATTTAAAAAATCCATGATTAGTGCTCCATAAGTCCTTGAAAAATATTTAAAAAAAAATCCACGATTAGTGCTCTGTAGGTCGTTGAAAATGTTCTTTAAAAAAACCCCGCTTAGTGCTATGTAGGTCCTTGAAAAATATCTTTTTTAAAAAATCCACGATTAATGATCTTTATGTCCTTGAAAATATTTCTTAAAAAAATCGGCGATTTGTGCTCTGTAGGTCCTTGAAAAATATTATTTAAAAAATCTACAATTAGAGATCCATAAGTACTTGAAAAATATTCTTTAAAAACTCAACAATTAGTGATTCTTTAGTCCTTGAAAAATATTCTTAAAATAATCCATGATTATTGGTCTATTAGAGAACTAGTCGTCTATGGTCCATTATCGTTTAAAAATAGTCGATTAACTGCCTTTTAGTCCTTCAAAAATTTTCTTTAAGAAATCTACGATTATTGTTCCTTTAGTCCTTCAAAAATATTATTTGAGAAAACTACGATTATTGCTCTGTTGGTCCTTGAAAAATATTCATTTAGGATTCCACGATGTGTGCCCTGCTGATCTTTAAAAATCCACGATTATTGTTCTATTAATCCTTAAAAAATCGGTCCCATACTCTCAGGCGTTGAATAAAAACGACAAGTTCATAGTGGCGTATGACTAACAACAATACTCATACGCAACATATTACCTTTGATATTTTATGATTTTTTTATTTCCTTCAATTTCTTCATGGTCCTTAATTTCCTATGGGGACTTGGACTCTATTTCTGAAATTTATTTTACCCTCACTAATTTCCCTTTCCTCCCTCCTTCATTTCAGAGAACAACAATTACTCAACATTTTCGAAGTAATCATAAACACATTGGAGGGTAAATTAAAACGAATCGATAATCTGGACAAATCCGTGGAGCATATGATGAGACGCATGGAGATATTGGATAATCGTGTTTCAGATAATTTAATTAAAACCGATTCTGTCATATCGAAACTACGATCCTTGGATGTTAAAATATCCAATGACATTATCGATTCCGCCACAGCAGCTGCTTTGAATTCCGAAACAACTCGACGATCGGGAACCTCCAGCAATGGTCGTTCTGCACGCACTTCTACCGCCTCGTCAACCATTCAGTTGGACAGTCGCCTGGTCTTGTTGGATCAAAAGGTCAGTGACATTGATTCCAAATTGGAGGGTTTGAAAAATCAAATTGACAACAATCTTCTGCAAGTGGATGAATTCAATGCAGAGGCCAGTGAAAAGAAACCGATCAGCATGAATGTCATTGAAATAACCAAGGCCATGAATGCTGAGGTTATGTCTCATGTTTCCAGCGAGCTAAGCGAGTTGAGAGATACCACCGATAATATTGATAAGAAGTTGCAATTTCACATCAACATTGTGTCGGAAAATGTGGGACGTATGCTGCGTATGGTGGGTGACATCCACGAGGCAGTGGTGGATCATCATGCGGACTATAACAATGTTAATGCCACCACCACAGCCATGCCTTTGATTAAGTCCAGTAAAATTGATGCCTTGGTTAAGAAAATCAGTCCCATGGTATCGGTATCGGAAAAAATGGATGAAGTATGGGATGTTGTGGTAGGCACGAAGTCGTCGGTGGATCATTTACTACCCAAATCGGATGCTCTTCTGACCCAAACCCAACGCCAGGAAAGGGCTATTGGTGAAATTCATCAGGATTTGAAAACGAAAACTAATTTGATTATCAATAACTTGGATATGGTGGAGAAACGTCTGAAGAAACAGGAAGATGATGTTCAGTTGCTGGCCCAGCGACCCGTCCCAGCTGAATTGTTAATGGATCCTACAATTGATCGTTTGGTGGAATATGATCCAAATAGGTGGGTTTAATTTCAGCAGAAAATTTTAATATTAGGTTATGGTTAGAAAAAAAAATGGAACTTTTTATGAGAGCCCAAGAAATCTACAAAAAGAGGAAAGTTTGAGCACAAAGATTTAAAAGCTTATATAAAAATACCAAAATTTATCCTATGAAAGCACTTGTAGCACTTCCATTGACAGCTATTCATTGAACTCTAGCAGAATCTCTGAAAAACCTTCTACAAAGATCCTTAAAATCTCATTGTGAAAAGCTCTCAAAGCTCGCCGACTAAAAATCCTAAAAAGCTTCTATAATAAGCTCTTGAAGCCTGCTTTAAATTAGACCTTTTTTGAAAAGTTTTGAAGGTATTTTTCAAATGCCTATAGATTGTTTAGATACCCATTAAGGTCTTCGGAAGCTGTTAAGAACCTTCTACACTGAACCATAAAATCCCATTGTTAAAAGCTCTCAAGGATAAGCTTTTGACGTCTAATAAGCCATGCCCCTAAATGTACTTTAAAAGGGCTTTAAGAATAAGGTATTACAAAGCTTCTCATAAAAAGCCTTACATGAATTCTAAAAAAGCTCAGTTGATTACTTTTCATAGGAGGTCTTTAAGGGCTTCTCGTAGTAGTAGGCCTTTAAGAAGTCCTTAAAGTCCTCCTATGAAAAGCAATAAAATGAGCTTATTTGGGAATTCAATTGAGCTTTTTGTGGGAAGCTTTAAATGCCTTCTTCTTAAAGCCCTATTAAAGTCTTCCCTTTAAGGTGATCTCACGTAAGCCCTTAATGGATTTTTTCAAAAGACCTTCCAGAAATACCTTCTTTTGCTCAAACTTTTCTTTTTCCCAAAAAAAAAAAAATAAAATTCTATCCCTACACAAACTCTCTTCCCCCTATACTTTTTTGGGGTAACTATTGGTCGAACCCTATCTAATTCCCTTTATCAATATCGAAACACACCCCCAAAAGACTTGATATAAATATATTTATCCAACAACCTATATCCTATATCGTAGATACTCCGTCATAGATGATTATACCGTACAGAGTAGTAGTTCCACAACAACAACAACAGCTCAAACAACACCCTCAACAGCTTCACTGGGAGCAACAACACCCACACCAACCTCAACACATTCTTCTTCCTCTTCATCATCCTCTTCCTCCTCCTCGTCTTCTTCTTCTTTCTCCTCCTCTTCTTCTTCGTCCATAAACACCACACCCACAGTAGTGTTGGCTTCTTCCTATCAATCTTCTGGTACATTTGCTTCTACCACTCCAATACCCACAACAAATGCAGCAGGTGTTAATTTTAATCAAACTACTTCCTCATCATCATCGTCCTCTTCTTCGTCGTCTACATCGTCAACAACAACAAGCAGTACTTCATCATCTTCGTCGACCGCATCGCAAATGTCTTCGTCCTCGTCGAAACCTCTGTCGCGTAAAGGTGGCATCATATTCCCCAGTGTCAAGAACAAGCCTTCGGTGGTGAATAACACCTTTACCACGGATATACTGACCATCAAGGATGTTAAGGTGAGTTGGAAATCAAATGTTGTAAAGTTTTTCGTTAAAAATAAGCTTTTTAAGGTATTCTATGGATAGCTCCCAAAGCGCTTTTATTAGAAGCTTTTGAAGGCAAACCACATTAAGAAAAGCTTAAAAGAAACCCTTCAAGGTCTTCTGAAAGAAGTCCTTCAAATTTTTCTAAAAAAGGTCCTTCGAGGTATTCTAACAAAAACCTTCCAAGGTCTTCCAACAGAAACCCTTCAAAGTCTTCAATACGAAGCTCTTTGGGGCCTTTTATGCGAAGTTCTTTGGGCCTTCAATACGAAAAACTTAGTATTGAGTTACTTTTAAGTGAGAAAATCGTTGGTAGTTCCTAAAAGTATGCTAAAAATTTTCAAATACAAAATATGAAGAAGTCGAAGAAGCCCTTCAAAGACTTCCAAACGAGTTGCTTTAAAATTTTTCTAAAAGAAGCCTTTCTTCTAAAAGAAGCCTGTCTTCTAAAAAAAGCCTTCCAATTTCTTCTAAAAAAAGCCCTTAAAGGCCTTCTACGAAGTCCTTAATGGCCTTCTATACGAAGTCCTTAATGGCCTTCTATATGAAGTCCTTAATGGCCTTCTATACGAAGCCCGCCCTTTTAAGACCTTCTCTACGAAGCCAGCTCTTTAAGGCCTTCTCTACGAAGCCAGCCCTTTAAGGCCTTCTCTACGAAGCCAGCCCTTTTAAGGCCTTCTATACGAAGCCAGCCCTTTTAAGGCCTTCTATACGAAGCCAGCCCTTTAAGGCCTTCTCTACGAAGCCAGCCCTTTAAGGCCTTCTCTACGAAGCCAGCCCTTTAAGGCCTTCTCTACGAAGCCAGCCCTTTAAGGCCTTCTTTACGAAGCCAGCCCTTTAAGGCCTTCTCTACGAAGCCAGCCCTTTTAAGGCCTTCTTTACGAAGCCAGCCCTTTTAAGGCCTTCTATACGAAGCCAGCCCTTTAAGGCCTTCTCTACGAAGCCAGCCCTTTAAGGCCTTCTCTACGAAGCCAGACCTTTAAGGCCTTCTCTACGAAGCCAGCCCTTTAAGGCCTTCTCTACGAAGCCAGCCCTTTTAAGGCCTTCTATACGAAGCCAGCCCTTTTAAGGCCTTCTATACGAAGCCTGCCCTTTAGGGCCTTCTATACGAAGCCAGCCCTTTCTAAGGCCTTCTATACGAAGCCAGCCCTTTTAAGGCCTTCTATACGAAGCCAGCCCTTTCTAAGGCCTTCTATACGAAGGCCGCCCCTTTAAGGCCTTCTATACGAAGGCCGCCCCTTTAAGGCCTTCTATACGAAGGCCGCCCCTTTAAGGCCTTCTATACGAAGGCCGCCCCTTTAAGGCCTTCTATACGAAGGCCGCCCCTTTAAGGCCTTCTATACGAAGGCCGCCCCTTTAAGGCCTTTTATACGAAGGCCGCCCCTTTAAGGCCTTCTATACGAAGGCCGCCCCTTTAAGGCCTTCTATACGAAGGCCGCCCCTTTAAGGCCTTCTATACGAAGGCCGCCCCTTTAAGGCCTTTTATACGAAGGCCGCCCCTTTAAGGCCTTCTATACGAAGGCCGCCCCTTTAAGGCCTTCTATACGAAGGCCGCCCCTTTAAGGCATTCTATACGAAGGCCGCCCCTTTAAGGCATTCTATACGAAGGCCGCCCCTTTAAGGCCTTCTATACGAAGGCCGCCCCTTTAAGGCCTTCTATACGAAGGCCGCCCCTTTAAGGCCTTCTATACGAAGCCAGCCCTTTGAGGTCTTCTATACGAAGCCAGCCCCTTGAGGTCTTCTATACGAAGCCAGCCCTTTGAGGTCTTCTATACGAAGCCAGCCCTTTGAGGTCTTCTATACGAAGCCAGCCCTCTGAGGCCTTCTATACGAAGCCCGCCCCTTTAAGGCCTTCTATACGAAGCCTGCCCCTTTAAGGCCTTCTATACGAAGCCTGCCCCTTTAAGGCCTTCTATACGAAGCCCGCCCCTTTAAGGCCTTCTATACGAAGCCAGCCCTCTTAAGGCCTTCTATACGAAGCCAGCCGTTGAAGGCCTTCTATACGAAGTCAGCCCTTTAAGGCCTTCTATACGAAGCCAGCCCTTTAAGGCCTTCTATACGAAGCCAGCCCTTTTAAGGCCTTCTATGCGAAGCCAGCCCTTTAAGGCCTTCTATGCGAAGCCAGCCCTTTGAGGCCTTCTATACGAAGCCAGCCGTTGAAGGCCTTCTATACGAACCCATTTGCAGTCTCCTATAAGAAGTTCTTGGAGGCCTTCTTTGGGAAGCCATTTAAGACCTCCTAAATTCTAAACGAAAGCCTAAATACCTTCTACAGGAAGTCCTTAAGACCTTTTATGGGAAACCTTTGACACCGTCTATAGGAAGCACTTAGGCCAATAGAAAGTCCTTTAAGCCTATAGAAAGTTCTTTAAGGCATTTGAGAGAAACATTAAGGCCCACTAAGAAGGGGTGTATGAGTATTTATGCTAACATATAATTAATTGTTGAAAGCTCCTTAAAGTATGCCATAAAAATTCTAAATATAAATTATGAAAAAGTCACTTGAAGAAGTCCTTACGATCTTGTATTGCAAGCCCTTAAGGTTTTAAATAGGCAGTCATTTTAGGAGCCTTTCAAAATGTTGTATAAAAAGCTCTTAAGGCATTCTCCAAGAAGTCCTTCAATTTTTTTTAAGGAGATTGTAGGCTCTTTTATAGAAAAATCATCCTATTTCGCCCTTTTCATACCCCATTTATTAATCTTTTATTTATCCTCCATAGGGTTTCTCTTGCGTTGATTTATTAAACGCCGGCATGAAACAATCCGGGGTCTTCTATTTGCAAATACGCGGTACCACCTATTGGTTTTTGAAGGTATTCTGTGAACAGGAGGTGGCCGATGGCGGTTGGACGGTAAGTTGTCAAAATACTTAATTTATTTTTTCATACTTAAACCAGTTCCCCCTTTAGGTTATACAAAGACGTGATGATTTCGGTGAGCCACGTGAGAATTTCAATCGTGATTGGGCGGATTATAAGAACGGTTTTGGCGACCCAGCCAAGGAATTTTGGTTGGGCAACGAAAACATCTATATGCTAACGAACAATGAAGATTATACGTTGAGAGTGGAGTTGGAGGATTTTGAAGGCAACAAGAGGTCAGTGTAGAGAATCAAAATTTTCTAAAAATGGCTTAAAATTATAAAATTTTGTTTACAGATATGCCCAATATGCCCACTTTAAAATCCATTCGGAGGCCGACTATTATAAACTGGAAATTGATGGCTATGAGGGTAATGCTGGCGATTCGCTGAATGATCCCTGGTATGGTTCGAACAACAGTCCATTCTCCACGTACAATCGTGACAACGATAGATCTTCGTTGAACTGCGCCAGCATGCTCAAGGTAGGTTGCATTTGAAAGAGAATCAAGGTTTATTTATTTATTCTTGTTTCCAGGGTGGTTGGTGGTGGAAGTCATGCGGCCGAGGTCTTAATGGATTGTATTTACATGATCCCCAAGATTTAACTGCCCGCCAGGGCATTGTTTGGTTCCGCTGGCGTGGATGGGATTATACCCTTAAGAAGGCCACAATGATGATTAAGCCGCGTGGACCCCAACCCATGGGTTCGAATTCAGCATCATCGTCTTCGGCGGGATCGGCGTAAAATGCCGTAAACCCCTTACTACTACGACTACAAACTATTTTTTTTTTTAACAAAAAGCGAGAAAGTGGAAAATTGAACACTTTTTTTATAATTTGTAAAAAGGCACAAATCATCATGAAATCATCATCTCTGTTTTTTGAAAAACAAAAATTATTATTTATAAAAAAAACAAATCACCAATTTCGAAACATAATTCCATTTTATCCAAATGAGAAAGGAATTGAAATTCCAAAATTAGATTTTGGAATTTCCATAATTATATTTCATTTTCAAAGGCTGGAGATTACACATGATTGTAGAGTCAAATGTAAAGTGAATTTTTCCACAGTTATCTCTAGCATTAAAAATATACGCTCCCCAGAATTTTTAATCCAAAAAGAAACGCTCTATTAAATATAAATTAATATAAATATACTAAACGTATGGAATTAATGAAATACAAGTGTGTTTATAATAATTTATAGTATATGTTGTGTGGCGTTACTTTTAAGTTTAATTTTTTTTTTAAGAGCTCCTTAAATTATGCTATAAAAATTGAAATATATAATATGAAAAAGTCACTTTACATATGCCTCTAGCATAATGTGTAATGTAGCCTTAGCTTCGTTGAAATATTTCATGAACATTTTTTGAGGTTAGGGGTAAGAAAGGAAATTCCTTTTTCTTTCCCATAATCTCAAAGAAAGATCCTTGCAATCTTTCTTCGAAAAACTTAACACTTTTCCCCTTCCAAAAAAAAAATTACAAACATAAATACTCAAAGAGTTTTATACCAATCACCCAAACCACACAAAAACAACAACAACCAACCAACAAAAGTTTCTTGTTTCATAGCGAATTATTTTTATATGTTTTTTTATTATTTTGTTTTATTTTATTTCAGTTATTATTTTATGTTTCATGTTCATTTTTTATTTTCATAAATTTTAATTTGTTATGTTTTAAAGTTTATTAACTTATTATATCATTTCTTTATACATATCCATACACATGCACACTTACATATATATCTATTTGCCAACCATTTACATTTTGATCAAAGTTTCAGCAATATTTATATAGCATTGCAATCCAGAGCTTTTCAAAAAAATAAGGGTCTTTTTCCATATGGCGATACGGAAAACACAATTTCAAATATATTTTTCAAATTTCGGAATTATAAAAAAAAGAAGAACAAAAATTTTAAAAAACTCATTTGGAATTGTGTTTATCTTTCATAACCCCATTTGTCATACTGAAAGAGGTCCCAAGAATTGTGGCGGAAGTATGTAACATTTTTGCAAAAACAAAAAGAAAGAATGATGTAAACGATCCACTTCTAAATATTTGAAAAAAGATTTTTGCCGACAAAACTTATACCAATGGGAGCCTCTTTTAAAAGGCAGTTATTATTTTTCAACAATGATAATCTTTAATAGCATTCGAAAAACACTCTCCATTAATTTAATTAAAAATTGTTGGCAATACCCATGGTACAATAAAAAGGTAAGATAGGGCTTCCAGCTGATTATAATTTTGTTTTTCTAAGTGTGCCCGACTTTTGCCAGTTTTGTGCATGTATTTGTGGTTTTGAAAAATAAAAAACTAAAATATTTTTATAATCAATGATTGGAAGAAACTTAAATTGGAATTGGTATTTCTGTAGTTTTACAAAGCTTTTCCACCTCTTTGTTGTACCATGTTAATACCCTACCAGCTCTTTTCTTTCAAATTGTTCAAATGAGACTTAAATTCCCTTAAGTCTTCTTCGCAAATGGACTTCCATCAACAAAACCTATTAAGGATATTTCAAAACAAAACTATTCTAGTAGTCTTATAGATGGTGTCATTATGCAGATTTTCATTTGATACGGCCAAAACATGACTCATCGAAATAACGCTTTTAGACCCTAGGTCTCTTTGGGCCAAATCCGTTTCAGAACATTTGGAGTCGATCTGGCGATGTTCATCCGTCCGCCTGTCTGGCTGACTGGTGCGCACGATATCTCTCGAAGCGGGTATCAGATTTTATCCAAACTTGGTACATCATAATATTATTATCAAGCTTATATCGAGTTCGGAGATGGGCAATATCGGTCCACTCCTTCTGGTAACTTCCCTACAAAATATCAACATTTTCAAAGAAAATAATTTACTGAAAAAGAGAAAGGATAATCCGATTTTGCTCCAACTTTGCAAATCCTAATATTTGCAACAGTGCTACGCCAGGGGCAAAAATCGACAATATCGAACCACTCCATCAAGTACCTCCCTCACAAAGAGTCAAAATTTTGAAAAATTTTATCTCACGTAACATCCGAAACAAGTCAACGATTCTTTTCATACTTAGTGTTTCTATATATTTCTATAAACCAGAGGTCTAATGAGAACCTGGAGGTACCCTCTGGTACCTTCTGGTTTTCATAAAAATAAAAACTGCACAGAAATAGAGAAAGGATAATCCGATTTTGCTCCAATTTTGCAAATCCTAATATTTGCATCAGTGCTAGGACAGGTGCGAGAATGGACATTATCGGTTCAAACCATCAAGTAGCTTCCTGACCAAGTGTCAACATTTTTAATAATTATAACTCTTATAAAATGAGATATAATTGTCCAATTCTCTTCAATTTCCACATATCACAATATTTTTATTAATCCAAGGTTTGGTGTAAAGATGGAATATATCGGTCCACTCATTCTGGTTTCTCCCCCACAAAGGGTCAAAATTGTGAATATCAATGAAGCTCATAAAACGCGAAATCGATATCCGATTCCATTTAGACTTGGCACATCTCAATATTTTCATCAACACAAGATCTGTTATAAAAATGGTACAGATCGGATCATTTCTTCTGTTACGTCCCCCACAATGGGTCAAAATTTTGAATAGCCAAAACTATCATAAAATCCAATATAAGCATCCAGTTCTCTTCAAATTTCACTCATCCGATTATTTCTACTAATCCAATATCTGCTGTAAAGATTTATCGGTCCCCTCCTTCTCGTACCTCCGCCACAAAGGGTCAAAATAGAAGATAGAATATATCGGTCCACTCTTCTGGTACCTTTCCCACAAAGAGTCGAAATTTTGAATACCCACGAGGTTCATAAAACGCGAAATTAATATCCGATTCTATTCAGACTTGGTACATCTCAATATTTCCATCAACTCTAGATCTGTCATAAAAAAGGTAGAGATCGTACCATTTCTTCTGGTCATAGCCCACAAAGAGTCAAAATTTTGAATTAGCAAAATTATCATAAAATCCGAAATAATCATTCGGTTGTCTTGAAATTTCACACATGCTATTATTTTCTTCTGATACCTCACCCACAAAGGGTCACAATTTACAATACTTTGCCAAATTTTACAGATCTGATACGAAATGGACAAAATTGGCCCATTCCTTTGGAACCTACTCCATAGAGGGTCATCAATTTAAATAATCATAACAAAAATCAAAATATATTTAAATAATCAAACATTGACTAAATGGTATACGTTTGTCGGCTAAACCGACTGATATTTTCTGTCCTTTTTTTGTGAAAATTCATTTTATTTAGAAGTTTATCTTTCCGTCTTTCAAAAAAATTCCAAAGTGTTCACATACCCCGTACCCACAGAAATTTAAAACACACGTACAGAACAACCATTACTCGTTACACATACATAAATTATTTGTAAAAAAAAAATATCGCATTAATTGTTAATTCATTTCAAAATTTCATGTAATTATATTCCACTATTTTATTATTTGTATGCACTTTATTCCCCCGGAAAAAATATTCCCCGCTCATCATTACTCCGTCAATTCTAATGTAAATATGTTTTTTCTTCGCTTTTATTTTTTTGTTATTTACTATTATTTTATAATTGGAAATAAATCACATGTAGTATTGCAACAACAACAAGTATACACATAAAAAATATAAACATTTTTTATTCATATATACTACGAAACTGTTGTCGTCCACATTGATTTTTGTACTATATTTTACAATATGTATTTGTTCAACAACATTCACCGCGATATATTCATCCATCCATCCATTCAATCAATCATCTGCATGTCAGTAAAACAAAAAGAACAACAATAACAAAAGAAAACATAATTAGTAGTAAAATTGTTTGTATAAACCCAACAACAATAATCACAATTTGTAAAACAAATTAGTATTCTTAAGAGATTCTTTGTAGTTAAAAACAACAACAGGAGGTTAATTAAAAAACAACAACAAATAAAAATAAAGGAAAAATACAAAAAAAATTGGTTTAAATTGTTTTTATTTTATGTTAAAATCTATATGCGAATTGGTAGTACGGTCCATAAAGAGGAAAAATAGCCTATTTTAAAATGCTCATAACTCCTTAAATATTGACATTTCGGGCTTTTTGGCATCATTTTGATGGCAGATATTTAAAGAGGAAAAATGGCCTATTTTAAAATCCTCATAACTCCCTAAATATTGACATTTCGGGCTTTTAGCATCATTTTGATTGCAGATATTTAAAGAGGAAAAATGGCCTATTTTAAAATGCTCACAACTCCTTAAATATTGACATTTCGGGCTTTTTAGCATCATTTTGATTACAGATATTTAAAGAGGAAAAAATAGCCTATTTTAAAATGCTCATAACTTCTTAAATATTGACATTTCGGGCTTTTAAGCATCATTTTAATTGCAGATATTTAAAGAGGAAAAATAGCCTATTTTAAAATGGTCATAACTCCTTAAATATTGACATTTCGGGCTTTTTAGCATCATTTTGATTGCAGATATTTAGAGAGGAAAAATAGCATATTTTAAAATGCTCATAACTCCTTAAATATTGACATTTCGGGATTTTTAGCATAATTTTGATTGAAGATATTTAAAGAGGAAAAATAGCCTATTTTAAAATGCTCATAACTCCTTAAATATTGACATTTCGGGTTACTTCAAAACAATTTAATAAAAATAAATTATATTAATTATTTTTTTTATTGAAATCAAATACATCTAAACATACAATTCAAAAAACAAAATGAAAAACCTTATCCCAAAAACACTTGTTTCATTTAATTATAATAAGCCGAACGGAATGATCGCTCCGATTCCCTTTTAAATGTTTCATGCATTTTTGTAATATCTTCCAATTTGTTACCAATATTCGATGTACTCTGTTCAATCCATTGCAGTGAACTCATGTGGGCATTGAGAATTTTACCAATTTGTATTATGGGGTCTGTATTATCCTGACATTTGTTCGCCTCGTTCAAATTATCAATTATCTCTTTGAGATCCTCTGACATTTGTTTCAATTGGGTATCCAAATTTTCCACCATCAAATAAGTTTGTGATCGCTCGACATCCACTTGTGGTATTTTTAAGAATTCTTTTTGCAACGGTACAATGCTTTCCTCCAGTTCTTTGTGCTGTGTTGCTATGAATTCCAATTCTTGTTCCAAAGTCTGCTGATCGGCTTTGACTTTTTGTACAGCATCATTTAGATCTAAAATCTTTTGATTGTTACTTATTAGGACTTTGTCCCAAGCATTGATTTGTGTGGCCTGATCGGTAAAGACTTTTTCCTGTTCTTCCAATTCCAATGTCCACTTATTGATGTGTTCTTCCAACTGGTTGTAGGTTAGTTGTGAGGCATTTGCCACAGCTGAGGAGTCTGTGGTTTTTGTGGCTGTAGTCAAGCTGGCAAAACCACCAGTCGCTGGAGGTTTTGAGGTAACAGTGGCTGTAGCAGCAGTTGTTGCAGCCGCCGTTGTCAACCCAGTACCTGTAGTACTAGAAGTTTGTGCCGTTGTTGTGGCTGCTGTAGGGGCTCCAAATGAAAAGCCACTGGTCAAAGGTGCGGCTGCTGCCGGTTGTGCTGCCGTAGCTGTTGTGGTTGTCGATGCTGCAGTCGAGGGAGCGGCTGCAGCCGGCGCTGCTCCAAATCCACCAAATCCTCCTGTAGAAAGAGTTGGAGCCGCTGCAGTTGTTGTTGCAGCGGCTGAGGGGGTACCAAAACCAAAGCTCGTCCCACCACCCAAGCCACCTAATGATGGTGTAGCAGTAGCTGGTGCTGCACTTGTAGCTGTTGCCGTTGTAGTAGCTGTTGCTCCAAATCCAAAGCCCAAGGGTTTTGCAGCTCCAGCATCTCCACCACCAGTCGCGCCAAAACTAAAACTTGGTTTGGCTGGTTGTCCAGCACCGGTATTCGTTCCAAAGGAGAATCCTCCAGCTGTGGCCGTTGTTGTAGTTGGTAATTGGAAACTCATTTTGTGTTTTTGTAAGTCGAAATAAAGATTTTTTAGCTTTTTGTTAAAAAATTAAAAGAATCGATGCGGTTTCCACCTCTTAGTTGACAAAACACGAGCGATGACAGTGTTACCAGATGAATGAAACATGTAGTTGCAAAATATTTGTAAAATAGTGGCTAACTTGTTAAGGCTCTATTTTCGATCTCTTGATCCCTAACAGATACGTTTTTCAATCTAGGAATCCCTAAATGCTTCCAGCTGATTGCGATTTCCTCATGTCTCATTCGTAAACGACAGAGGTACTCGACGTTATACATTACACTCATTCGTAAACAACCAGAGGTTTTCGGGGTTTTTGCTTTCTCTCTATTTTATCGGGCATTTTTGCCTCTCTTATTTGTTTCTTTGGGGACGACTTTCATTTTGGTTTCCCACGCTCCCAGAAAGGGATGTACATTAGACTCACCTCCTAACAAGAAAACATCAATCCACCGCTTTAATAACATATTGGCCTATATTATGAAATTCCTCATTTTAATACTAAGTTATATATTGACATATTGTCATGCAAGTCCTCGACTTGTAGATCCCACAAAGACCACCGTTTATGGAAGTGGCTTAGAGCCGGATAAAATTGTTTTACCGGCTAGATTTTTCTATATACATGCCGCTGGAGATGATGGACAAATGTAAGTAGAGTTCTTATCATGTGTGCTACTTAATAACTTTGCTTTTGCTAGGTTTAAAGAATCACCTCCGTTGAACTTTGATGTACAAATCGAGGGTAAATCGCCTCATGGAGCCTGTCGTTCCAAGGTGGATATCATAAATCGTGGTGATGGCTCCTTTATTGCCCGCTATAGCATCATTAGCGATTGGTGTGATAAGATGATTATCAATGTGCGCTACAATGGTTCCCATGTAGCCAAATCGCCATACTATATACGTGATTTGGTGTATTCCGAAAAATGTTATTGTCCCCGGGATCTCAACATTTGGCTAATTGACAATGAGTGTAAATCTGCCATGCAGGAAGATCAAATCGTTAGCGATTTACATTCATTTAAACGGGTCAACTTCAGCATGATACGTGATAATTTGATTAAACGTTATAATCAACCGGAGAGTGTATCGTTGTGCCACTATGTGGTTAAAGATCAACAAATTTGGCGTAAATGTTATGGCAAATATGATGGCTTTAAAATGTTTATGGACGCCACGCTTTTGGCATTGGGTCGTGTTGTGGCCTTACCCGATATGGAATTCTTTTTGAATCTAGGGGATTGGCCATTGTCACGTAAGGGTGGTCAACAACGTACCTCCGGTCCGTATCCAATATTTTCATGGTGCGGCAGTGACGATTCCCATGATATTGTTTTGCCCACATATGATTTGACTGAATCGACTGTGGAAAATATGCAGCGTGTATCGTTGGATGTACTGTCTGTGCAGCGTGAAAAATATCCCTGGTCTAGCAAAGTTGACAAATTATTTTGGCGTGGCAGAGATTCACGCAGGGAACGTTTGGATTTGATTGCTATGGGACGTAAACATTCGGACAAAATTGATGCGGCTCTAACGAATTTCTTCTTTTTCCGCGATGAAGAACATAAATATGGACCCAAGGTACCGCACATTAGCTTTATGGAATTCTTTAAGGTAAGAGATTCAGACACTACTGAAATTGCATTCTTTGAGGTTGGATTATAGATTTCGATAATACTTTTAGTACAAATATCAACTGAACATCGATGGCACTGTGGCCTCATATCGTTTACCTTATCTGCTGGGCGGTGGCTCGACAGTACTCAAACAAACATCACCGTATTATGAACATTTCTATCACAAACTCAAAGCCCACCAACATTATCTACCCATCAAGAGGGATTTATCTGATCTCATTGAAACCATAACATGGTTACGTGAAAATGAGGATAAGGCCCTGGAGCTGGCTAAAAGTGCCCAGGAGTTTGTAAACTCCAATTTAACGCCCAGACATATCTATTGTTACCACATGGCTCTTTTTAAGGTAGAATCTATTAAAGTTGTTAAATATTGTATTAATGAGTTGTATTTTACAGGAATGGAGTCAACGTTTGGTCTCACCTGTCATGGTTTTACCGGGCATGGAAAAACTCGAACACACCCACAGTTGCAGCTGCAAAGAAACCTATACTCGCGATGAGCTGTAATTTTGACAAGTCACAGTATTTATTTTACATCATTCCCATCCATTATCAAATGAATACTCTAGAATAATATTCTTTGCTTTTATCGATTCATTTTTTTGATATATAGTGTCCAACAAAAAGATATTTATTTATAAACATATTCATATGCCATATACACTCAATTCACTTTATAGACAAAACTAGGCAAAATACTTTGTAGATGTGTTTTTAGCATAAAACTCTAGTAAAAATTAAACAAAAGAATCTCGTATATATTTTTGATCTATTTAGATATATATGTATTTAGCACATTTTTGCACACATTTTAGATTTTTAGAATCTCATAGATTTTAAAATAAACGAAATAAATTCATCATAAAAATATTCCAATTGTATGTTCTGTATGTCTCAAGCAATCCTCATGAAGTGAGTCACAAGAAAAGTTTGTATGAGAATTTTATGCCCAACTTGAATTTAAAAATATTATATTTTTGAATTTCTTCACTTTCCTGTTGCACCCACACCTTCATTTATTGATGCCCGAATATATTGGACACAAAAAATGGATTGAAATGGAAGTGCTGTGTTTCATAAAGAAAAGAAAACATTCTTGAGTCTTCAACAGGAAAAAATAGACCATTAAAAGAAATCTGACGTTTCGATGAATTTGCACATTGTTACGAAGGAAATGAATAATGTGAATTATTAAATAATAACAATACTTGATTTTACTTAAAAAAATATATATTTTTCAATATACACATCATTTATATATTCAATATCTTTTATTAATAATTTTTAAAATGCTTAAGTCTAAACAGTGGACATTCTTTGTTATTGCCCAATGCCAAGTAGGCTGAGTGCGGCGAAAATTCCATGCAGTTTACATTACCAAGATTCGGCATGAAACCAGGAAAGTTTGCATAAACGGTGCCGCTGGGAAAATGTGCCAGTTTCAAGGCATTTGGACAGCGACTAGAAGCAAATGCCAAAATCTCCGAACTATGATTAAATCTAACACTACTGATGGCCGTTCTTAGATTAAGGAAGCTTTTAATTGGCAGCGGCGTTTGAGTCTGCATAATATTTTCAAAATCATAAACATTAACAACACCCTCCATGCTGCCAGTTGCCAATAGACGTTGATTGGGTGACAAATCCATTGCCTTGCCAGCAATGCAACCATCATCAATGAATCGATGTTCCAAACGTTGCTGGCGCATCGAAAACACACATACATTGGCTGAGTTACCGCTTACCACTAGCCTCAGGGAATCATTGGTAAAACAAATGGTAGCCACCTTGTCATTTTGTTTGAGCGAGGCAATAATTTCAAATGTTTTTGCTTCCTGTATGTGGATTTCACCACAAAGTCCAGCCGATACCATATAGCGACCACAGGGCGATATCGTAAAATTACTCAGGTTCCCACTGTCCTTACGCAAATTGTAACGTGTCTCCTTGGCAGTCATTAGATCATACAAATAGGCATATTTGGCATTAGAACCAAATACTGCCTTTGTTCCGCAAGGAAGGAGACGCGCACATTTAATGGGAAAATTGGGGATGTGTATATTATGGAGCTTATCATTTTGTGTGCCATCGATGGCATAAATGGAAGCAATACCCTTGTCGCCCGCAACCAAAGCTGCTGTGCTGCTAGGGTGAAATTGTATGCTATTGATATTTCCCTCTGCATAAGTTGCTCGATTAACATCCTTCATCCTTTTGGCACTAATATGTTTTTCCAGCAAAATACCTTCTGCTGGTTTACTAAGAAAACCAACAGTCCTCAGTAAGTCACCATCATCACCCTCATCATCTGAACGTTTGGCCTTATCCTTTTCATCCAAATTTGCCCATTTCGGCTGATTCACAATACGAGTAAAGCGGGCAGTCAAATGTTCTTTGTATGACTTGTCCAATTTCAAATGATCCAAAGGGCCAGTACGTTTATTTTCCTTTTTGACATCACCCAGTTGAATAACTTCATCATCTTCATCAACCCATACAGGTTTCCGCTTTTTCTTGGAACCCTCCTTTTCTTCTTCATCATCACCCGTCTTGGCCTTCTGGCCCACTGCCCTTTTAAGGTTTTTCAATAACTTATCTTTATCACCAAACAAAACTTTGTCCATGGGTACCTCAATGGGACCAGAAGTGTCCACATTCTTTTGTTTTTTCACCGCTTCATTTGCATTGTTTTGCTCTGACTCCTCGTTTTGTTCGTTAGCTTTGTCGCCATTTTCAGCCTCTTCTTTTTCACGATACTCGGCAATGAGTTCATTCAACTCTTGCATATCGTCGCTGAGCTCATCATCACTCATTTTTAAAGATTTTTAGTAAAAAATTAATTAATTTGAAGAAATTGGAAAGAGATGCTCCTCCAATGAAATTACACGTGCAGTCAATGTTTACAAATTGAATGTTGCCAGATTAAAATTTAATGCTTATTCTTGGCATTTCTCATGTAGTGCAGTACACACCATTGAACAAGTTTATCTCTCAACGGGATAAGTTCAATCAGCTGATTGAAGAAATGTGCCATGGTAGAATCAAGAAGGTAAAGTCATGCAATCATATGTTTACATTTTTTTCAAAATTATTTTTTTGACAACATATCATATCAATGTTTTTTTATAACTTCATTGTACATACACAAATCAGAGGTGGTAACCTGTTTTCTATACATTGAAATTTGACAAGATAAATTACAGAAAATGCAAAGATGGGAATGCTTATTTGAAATGACTTTACCTCCTTAATTTTACCATGTAAAAAATGGATAAATGTTCCGTAAATGTCAGACAGCATTATTTATAAATTATTGTAATTTACAATTATTCATTTGACTATATGTCATGATCAAAATATATATGTTTCAGGTCATTTAAAATCGACTTGATTTATAAATCAAACTATCAAATCATACTTGTTTAGACTAGTTTAATATGATATAAAATGTCAGTCAGCTGGTCTTATTTCGTATACAGGCGCACTTTTTGTTTACATAAGAATTTGGAATAAATTGATGTTTTAGGCGTTTTATGTATTCTCACCTTTAGAATTAAGGAGAGAGTACTAAATGGCTTTTTCGAATGAAGTGTTAAAATAATTGCTCTGTTCCAGTACCTTTAAGAATTTACTACTTTGACCAATTTTTTTTTTTCGATACCATAAAGGGAAAATCGGTTATCGTAGTGAAAACTTTTATATTCTTGCAGTTCTGGAACAGACCAAATAATAGTGTCAAATAATTCTTCTACCCCCAACTAGGCGGAAGTAACGAATAAACAGAAAAAAAATATTAATGTCTTTTGGGAAAGGAAACACAAACCTTTTATTTTATAGGGAAATCGCACCGGATGAACCCATGCAATATAGCCAAATGGGCAGAGGTGCTACAAATTTATGAGGAAAAATATAAAGTCAAATTTACCCAGACCTAGGTCTCTAAGACGATGACAACATATATCCCGGTACAGATATTGCACTTGTTACCAACTTGAAAGCATAAGTTTAAGAACTGTCGGACAGAGTACGTTAACAAGAATACAACAAGGCAGAAGATGTTGTGGACGGTTGTTAGAGACAGAAGATCCAGAGAAATGGCTATATGTGTTTTTTTTATGATCAAGGGAATATGTTCCAATTGAACATTTATAATAAGCGTCTATCCTGTGTCTAAAAATATGATAAAAGCCTACAGCACAATACCCATATCATAGAAATTTCTACATAAAAAAATTCAGAGCTTCTAGCATCCCCCAATCGCTTAATACTAACGGTACCATAAATCGGAAATCGATTACGAAACTTCGATTTTCCGATTTTCACCACACCACATTTACGATGTTCAACAGCAAATGTCGATTATTTGAAAGTCGACTTAGGTACCCCTTATCCATTTTTGCAATCGTCGGTTGTCATTGAAGAGACGAGTGTGAATAAATTTTTCGATTTTTATTAAGTCTCCAAAATTCATGAAGTAAAATTGAAAGTTTTTTCTTAAATAGTGCAAAAAACAAATCAATAATCAAAAAAAATAATACTCAACATTAAGATCTCAAGAATAAAAGTTTTATTTCATATAAAAATAATAGTTTTGAAGTGAATTTATATCTATATATTTTTCTTTGCTTTCCGCATAGTTAGGTGCGTGAGTGTATGCCTGCTTATGTATGTGCAAATGATGAGCAATATTTGACAGCAGACCATTCCCAAAATTTTATTTTCCAATTGATTTTTTTTGCATACACGTAAGAGAAAAATCCAACGTGATATATATGAAATTTTTAAATAAAAAAGAATAAAGCATTTTATAAAAATCAGAAAATTTTAATTTTGCCACACCAAGAAAGAAAGGCCCATAGAAAAGAAAAAAGTAATTGTGTACGTTCGTCAGACATCTTCGTTCGTTTCACATTTTTGTTGTTGCTATAGTTGGATAGTCGTTGACTCCACTACAGTCCGCTGTGTGTGTGAGTCTGTGTGCGGCGATAAAAAACCATACAAAGAACAACTGCAAAAAAACGAATCAAGTGAAAATTTAGTTAAATGTGTCTTCTTAAATTTATATTTTCTTTTGTATAAAATTTAGTGTTGCAAGTGTTATTAAACAAACCCAAAAACGTATAGAAACATTTGGAAGTGAAAGGTGCGCTTTTCTCATAGCGATACGTTACTAATTTTGCGTTTGCAATAGTTGAAAACAGGGGGATTTGAACTTGAAGTCTGAAAACCACATCATTTTCCATCATCACACCACCCAGCAAGCCGAATAATATTCTAACAAAATGTCTGCGGAACGTGAGATACCAGCAGAGGATAGTATTAAAGTCGTCTGTCGTTTTCGTCCATTGAACGATAGCGAAGAAAGAGCCGGCTCAAAGTTTATTGTTAAATTTCCCAACAGTGCTGAGGAAAATTGTCTCTCTATAGGGGTAAGTTGCAACAATTATAGCAATCAAACAAACACACCCACGCACACACTGCGATAGATAACATTTTAATTTAAGAAATTACACTTTTCTGTGTTATAAAACATTGTTTTGTTCGGTATTTGTTCCCCCCAAAATTTTCACTGGTGTTGTTTAATGGCAAAAATATTTGCACCAGCTGTATATTTTTGGGGTTAGGTTTAATTGTCAGATGACGTCATTTTGTCCATAACCCCCCTATTTTCTTGATGTTTCTTTCGATTTGTTTTTTCTTCGCATTGCTCTCTCATCGAAAAGTATATACAAGTGAGCATGAGAAGTTGGGAAGTAAACAACACTAATGGCAATAACAAATGACATTAACTAAGAGCAAAGAAGAAACAATAACAAAAACGATATTTTTAATGGGTAGAAATGGAAATTAATATCAATAACAAAGTGTTGCCATTTTGTTTGCAATAATTATTTTTAATTTAATGCAGAAGAACCGCCCGCCCTATCAACTGTTAGTGAGAGAGTATAGGGTATGCCGACTGAACAACCCCAACACATCTCACAACACAATTAGGTATCGAACAAAATAATAGAGAAATAAAAGAGAGCGATGGTTCAATTACCAGAGTAAAAAGGTGAAAAGAGGTATGGAGTGACAGGTGGTGTTGGAAGTTACGAATTAATCTCTTATCTTTAGCGGGCGCGATTAAATAATAAAGTATATATTGGATAGATATGCAAAATTGATAGTAGAATTTCAAGATCCTCGAAACTTTGTAACCAGTAGCACTTGCTTAAAAGTGTATTTTACCTGTATGGCGCAACAATGGACTACTTTCAATAAAAAGTGGAGCCTTTTGTAGTGGACATAGTAAGTTTTCTGCTAGTACTATTAACACAAGTAACACAGTTGATAATTCCAAGTTTGATTGCAGATACGGACTAATACTCAAAATAAAAAAAAAAAAAACATATACAAATTTCCCATATCGTCACCTGACGGAAAATAGCAATAAATTGTACGACAGGTAGCCCTTGCCATCCCTAACTCAGACGTAGCGTTTTTTGAGATGTCGGCATATACAACTTGGGTTTGACCTGAACCAACACCACAATACGGATATCATACAAAAACATAAACATCATACAAAAAAAAGAAGTACCGGCTAAAAAATGAGTCGTTTGGTTCGCGTAACCAGTGCAAGTACCTCAGAGGTGAAAATCTGAAATTCCAATTTGGAAATTTGAAACTAAATTTGGGATCCTTGCCCTCAAGAGACTATATTCCATTTCTGGAGATTTTTAAACAAAAAATTGCTGTAACTCCCTAGCAGGTCAGAGAGTATGGGCAATTTTTTTGTTTTTGGTATTGCACCCACTTTTAGCCGGTTTTGTTGGAACTTCCAGGAGTTATGATTGTATATCACTCGGATGAAATGGCACAATGGTGGTTTTACTGAGTATTTTACTTCAATATCGAGTGACTAAGATCCACGCTTTATAGACCTATAATAAAATTAAGAGCTTCATCCCCAGGTGACATTAAAAGACAAGAAAATTTATTTCACTTTTTATTTGGATTAAATAGGACTAGATGTGATTTTTGAACATTGAGGACTCGCGGGACTATGTCATCAACAATCCAATTCTTAGACGCTGTATGTCTTGATCAAGGACGTCGATTTAATAAAAATTAATTTTCAATTTCAAGTAATTGAAGTCCTGCCTGATATATTTTAAAGGTTATTTTTTAAGGTTTCCGGAGGCGCTGCGCCTCTTTCCTTCTAAATTCCAGTAAATAGGAGAACATCTTCAGAGTAGGAAGAAACTTCCGGAAGCAAATCAAAACCAAATTTCATTCAGCTAAGTTTGGAATATTTGGAACGAAATTTCTGTTTGAAAGTTATATGAGTTCATTGTTACTATTTATCCGAAAAAATATGCACACCGATCAAAAAAAAAAAAAAAAGTTTAGCGTCGTACTAAAAGATCCAATCTTCAAGTGATAAGATTGGATCTTTTAGTACGTTGTTCTAAGGTAGTTTTCTTCTCCTGTCTAATTGTGTCGATCATTTTATGATTGTCATAAATATCCGTTGTTCTAAAAAGACTTTTTTTGGCTAGCAAATTTATAGTTGAATTCTTTCAATTAGCAGTCAATGCTATGCAAATATTTGAATATTATTTTCAAAGAATTATCAATTGATCCTACAAAGACTTGCTTGAAAGTTGTTTTGTGTGTGGGAAATGAATTAGCATATCGAGATAACAATTATGGGTATTAACCAATAACTCTTTTTATAATGGATAATTTTTTGCAAAAGGTATAAGGCAGATATGAAACAAATTATTTTCAGTTTCTCGGTTACACACACACACACACACACACACAGAAAATAGCTTATGATTTCACAATACATACATCATTGAGGTATTTGAAAAGAAAACATTTAAAATATTTTGGGCTGCCATGAGACATTTTCCATTAATACATCGTACAGAAACATTCATTCATGCAGTTGTTTTTTTTTAAACATATGATTTAAATCATACTTGGTATCCCCAGTTATTTTCTTTTTGGTGATGGCACACGCAACGCCCGTCAAAAATGATCGTTCGAAAGCATTTATGGCAAAGAGACTGGAAATTCTTGCCACTCTGGATATAATCAACAACACCCACTCACACAAAAATTATTCAACATTGTGCCATGTTTCGTCGCCTGAGACATTGTTTTACTTGAACTTTACTATACATAAAATACGAATTTTTGCACAACCACACACAACAGTTGACTGCTGCCGCCTGCTGCTGCTCGACGAATTATATTTGTTTGGAATATTCATAATGCTCCCCTCGATATATTTGCCTGCCTGCCGGCATGTTGTTTAGTATTACTAAGCATAAGAGGGGGGAAAGGAAAAAATATATATGAGTCATTGGTTTCGCTCTCGCATAGCTTGATGGAATACTTATGGTAAGGTCGTGTAGTAGAAACATGACGATGGTACATTTCCTTTTGTTCAAGAGAGCTTCTGAGTGGGGGGAAGTTTGCTGGTCGACTGACTGGTTCGTCTAATTTCTGTGTGGTGGATTGCATTGTAATAATATCGTTGACTTAACCATTAATAGCTTGGAATTTAGTTGTAGGTATTTAAATAGGTATGTATATCTACCTATAAGAGAGAATTTAATCTTTATTTGCATTGGTTCATACATGGTTAGGGTTTTGAGACAAACGGTCTATACATTTTGAGATTTGTTTTTGTCAAGCAGTTGTTTGAGAAAACTCACTTGTTTCAATATAACTTATGATTGGCATGATATTTGCAAATATATTATAGGTATCCTGCTAAGGCATAAAAATTGATATTTTAAGAGCAATACGAATGATGTTCATAAAAATCAAATTAAAAATTGGCTAAAATCTTTTTGTAATGGATTGGATTTGGATTGGTCCATATTATTTAATGTTCGAAGATTATTTTACGCAAATGTTGACCGCGACTGCGCCAAAAAAATTTCCTGCCGCTAAGTTTACATACTGCTTCCAAAATTTCGATCTGCATTTCATAAATAAATACTTCAATGTTGCCTTCCAATGCGTTGATGGAATAGTGAGCACGTCTATATAGACATGAGCTTTAAAAAAATTGTGAAAATTGTGATCCTGTTTGTGGGTCAGGTACCAGAAGGGGTTCGCAGATATATATCATCTTCACAACAGATCTTGTTTTAGCAAACAAATTTGTATGTGTGAAATTTGAAGAGAATTGGATGCTTATTTCACTTTCTTTGAGCGTTTTGTTTTTCAAAATGTTGCACCCTATGTGGGGGAGGTACCAGAAGAAATGGCACGATCTCTACCATCTTTATAACAGATCTAGTGTTGATAAAATATTGAGACGTACCAAGTCTGAATGGAATCGGATTTTAATTTCGCGTTTTATGAGCTTCATGGATACTCAACATTTTGACCCTATGTGGAGGAGGTACCAGAAGAAATGGTCCGATGTATCCTTTTTTTCCCAGCAGATTTTGTGTTTCTGGAATTAATGCCATGCGTGAAAAATGAAGAGAACCCGACGCTTATTTCGGATTTTATGATCGTTTTGGTTATTCGAAACTTTAAACCTTTGTGGGGGAGGTACCAGAAGGAATGGTCTGATCTCTACCTTATCTTTATAACAGATCTAGTGTTGATAAAATATTGAGACGTACCAAGTCTAATTGAAATCGAATGGTAATTTCGCGTTTTATGACCTACATGGATTTTCTAAATTTTGACGCTTTGTATAGGAGGTACCAGTAGGAATAGACCCGTACATCCCATCTTCACACCAAACCTTGGGTTAATAAAAATGTTGTGATGTATGTTATTTGAAGAGAACCGGATGCTTATTTCTCTTTCTATTTTTCTTTGAAAATCTTGACATATTGTGGGAGTGGACCGATAAGTTTAACAATAATGTTACAATGTACCAAGTTTTTATCAATTCGAATGCGCCCTTTGAGAGTTATCGTGCGCACCAGACAGACAGATAGACAGACGGACGGACGGACATCGCTAGATCGACTACAAATGTCCTGAAACGGATTTGGTCCAAAGAGAAGTAGGGTCTAAAACCGTTATTTCGATGAGGCACGTTTTGGTCGTATCAAATGATACCCTATCTAGCCATTTGGCTGAGGGTATTAAAAGAGGTTCGTTACTGAACTAAATTCTTACAATTTCTTAACGTAGCGCGCATTTTCATAATAAAAACCAATGATGCGTAAGCGTTGTTTGTTTGTAAGACGATTCATCTTTTAATTACAGACCGAACTGAAGATGTTTAAAACAAAACACGATATGTGTGTGAGCTGTTGAAGCAGTGTTGCCCGAACTATAATAGCTAAAAACCCATCCTTTTAAAGGATGTTTATTATTCAAAGAGAATGATCGAATTTTTATAACCGAAGCCATGTCGTTAACATTTTGCGCATTGAATATCAGTCATATGATCTCA